AGGATCTCAATCCCGATGGGGAAATATCCGAGCATATTTCAGGCGGAAGTCTACGCCATCTACTTGTGTGCGGAGACCATCATAAATAGAGGATACCGTAATGAGAAAATTGTAATTCTTAGTGACAGTCAGGCGGCACTCAAGGCTCTTTTATCCTTTGAAACTAAATCATCTGTGGTCCTTGAGTGCATAGAGAGGGTCAACTCCCTTGGTAGGCACAACAACATCAAACTGGCATGGGTGCCTGGCCATATGGGAATAGAGGGGAATGAAGTGGCGGACGGTCTCGCTAGAGAGGCGGCAGCCATTACTCCGGTTGGCCCTGAGCCCTTCCTGGGAGTGGGTCCCAACACTATTAAGGAAGAGCTCACCTTGTCTACCTTGCGCAACCTAAGTGAAAACTAGCATCTAACCGTGGTTGCGCACGTTTGGCATTACAAGCTGCTGAAGTTTAGAAATAAAAGAGACTGATGCTTTGTATTTTGGCGTTTTGGAATGCCGCCGTAGTTTCATTTAATGACATTCGTTGTTGTTGTTGTTGTAGCGGCTACAACAACCCCGCCCAGGACGGTTGGTATCTCAGTCGTTGTCGTCAAGTTCCACTAACGGCAGCCCCAGGAAGTGTGCAGCTTCTGTGGGGTTGGTCCACAAGGACAAGGCCGTTAGGGTTGTCGGGTTTTCCGGGCATGCGAAGAGATGTTCCGAGTCATGTGGGGTCTCTCCGCATGCCGGACACTCACTTGGCACATCCTCATTCAATCTACTCAGGTAGGAGTTTAACGTGCTCCAGTAGCCAGTTGTGCTAGTGTCGTTCTTGTCTCCCGAGGCAGATGAAGCTCCGTCACGTCTGTGTCCGGGGGCGGTCATGCCTAGAACGGCATTCACAGGTCTAGAGTCTGCATAACTCGAGACTGACTCCCTGTGAATGCCGTTCAGGGCCAGTCGGTAGGCTGTCGGGTCCATAGGTTGCTTGATGAACCTCTGGACTTCGTCCGTCAGTTCATATAGATGCCTCCTGACGTGCCTAGGCGAGGGCTCCTCTGCAAGCAGCTGTCTGTTTGGGTGGCCACTTCTGTGGCTCCCGATCAGGAACTGCTTGCAGAGCATTATGTTGTACTCCTTTACGGGGAGAATTTGCGCCTCGCCGCCTCGCATCCTGTCGCTGTCCTAAGTGCGGTGTTCTGTGCAGTCTGTAGCTTCGTCCACTGCGTCCTACTAGTCCCCGGCGACCACACTGGCGCTGCGTAGTTCAAAACCGGCCGGCCTATTGCCTTGTATGTTGCCAGCAACGTTTCTTTGTCTTTGCCCCAAGTACTGCCGGCTAGCGACTTGAGGACCTTGTTGCGGCTCTGTACTTTATTGACAATAGCGGTTGAGTGCGCAGAGAAGGAGAGCAGGCTGTCGAATGTTACTCCGAGTATTTTGGGGTTATTCACCGTCGGAATTGGTGTGTCATCGACGTGAATCCCCAGCGGTAGCCTGACCTCCTTCGTCCAGGTTGTGAACAGGGTCGCGGAGGATTTCGTAGGGGAGAGGGCTAGACACTTTGCAGTGAAGAAGCGAGAAAGTTCGGAGAGATA